TTAGTTGTTCACACAAAGCATAAAGGTAAAAAAAAACAAACAATATATACAGTGTTATCTTCATTTTAGATTTCAAAAAGTATTTGCAGCTCCCAGTGTTTTCTTTTGCGTGGAAACCGGGTCCAAGTGGCTCTTTGGGTGTTAAAGGTTGCAGACCCCTGGTTTAGGTTAACTAGTGATTCAAAACCCATGGCCTCCACGCCTGATTTACACACTGACACTGATAGACAAACTGAGGGCAATTTTTAGGGTTCTTGCCTAAGAACAATTCTGCATGTAGACAAGGATACACTCATGAATACATGTAAATGAACAGCTCTTAAGCGCTTAAGCCTTATTTGAAATTCTGTAAAAGTGGTTTTATGTTGACAGACAAAGATCAGGGAATATGCTCCCTCTAATAACATTTATTTACTCTTCCTGTCTGTAATGCAGAGGTGTGTGGGACTCCTGGTTACCTTGCTCCTGAGATCATTGAGTGCTCTATGGACGCAGGACATTCAGGATATGGGACAGCTGTGGACATGTGAGCGACCATGAAATCGGTTACCAAGTAACAAAAATATCAATAGGAGGGAGTGTCAGCTTTACTCTCATGTTACCAAAATTGATCTTATGCAGCTCAACAGTGTGTTAGAATTATCTCATAAGCCTGTGTACAAAATAATGACTCATATTATCTGTTGTGTGGCTCGGCTAATACGTGTTCCAGGTGATTAGATTATGCATGTACACACTGCACAGTGAACAGACTAGATAAACTTTGTTCTGACTCGTGTTTGCAGATGGAGTTCAGGTGTTATCATGTACACGCTGCTCGCGGGCTCTCCACCGTTCTGGCACAGGAAACAGATGCTGATGCTGCGCATGATCTTAGCGGGGACGTACGACTTCTCCTCTCCTGAATGGGAAGACCGCTCAGACACGGTCAAAGATTTGGTAATCTTACTTTCGCAATGTTGACTTTTCGCAATCTCAGTTTTATAAGTTAGGTGATAAGGTTGAAACCTTTGAACTAAAATAATTCTTCCTCCAGATCTCGCGGATGCTGGTGGTGAATCCAAAGCAGCGTTTCACAGCTACAGATGTTCTGAACCACTCGTTCTTTTCACAGTACGTGGTGCACGAAGTACGACAATTCACTCCGTTCAGGCGCTTCAAGGTGAGAAACACAAGATTTTATCAAACTAAAAATCTTAATAGTTTTCATATTTGGGGGATATATTTTATGGTATCTTTATCATATCTCGATCAAAATATAACCCTAATTCCAAAAAACTTAGATCTTGCTCCCCCCTAAATTTCTGTCTATTTCTGTATACTACAACTTTACTGTCTTTGATAGTTCATAAAGAAACCATAACCTTTTCGGAACTTTCTCCATCAGGTTATTTGCTTGACCGTTCTCGCTACAATGCGAATCTACTGCAACTATCGCCGTGCCAAGCCCATCACCAAGGAGGTGATAAAGAGCGACCCGTACGCCGTGAAGCCCATCCGCAAGCTCATAGATGCGTGCGCCTTTAAGATCTACGGCCACTGGGTCAAGAAGGGCCAAACCCAGAACAGAGCAGCACTTTTTGAGAACACGGCCAAAACCATCCTGCTTTCGATCGCCACTGAAGCGGACGAGCCCATCCAGTAACAAGCAGCGTGGACTGACGCGTGCTGAGTTTTACATGGGGAAACATTTAAACTTCTTTCTTCGTAGAAAAGAACTGCTACAACTAGTTTATGCATAATGCAGCATTTTTAAAAGCAGCCGTAGTGACTACAGGGGGATTGATTTATCTCAAGGACTGAAATGTTTGGCAAAATTTTCAACCATGCCACTGGTGACATTGTGCTTGCTTTGTTCTAAAAGTGTACTCAACCCATTGTCAGCTTGTGTCCTATGAAAATGCAGCTGCTGTGCTTTAGATTGAATGCAGCCCCTCAAATACAAGGTGTATCAAAAAAGAATAATCAGATTTCAAAAGGCTATACTTTTTAATGAACATAGAAACTTATGGTAAATTTTAAAGTACATGGCTGAATATACAAAAAGTTACGTTTGCAAATGCCTGATGTGTCTCCCTCGGCAGTTAAACCTAGCCCATACTTTGGAGAGCATGTCTGGAATCGCTGCTATTGTTAAGCTTCTTACCAGCAACCATGTAAAACTCGAATCTGCTCTAACAGCACATGTTCGTCTTTTGATCGTTAAACGGCGAATGGCTGTGGAATTAAGGCGCTTTTAAATCCGATTTTTTTTGATACACCCTGTATATTAACAAATTTTTTTTCAGCATTACATGGTATTCTTATAGCCTTCGCACTCTAAAAACTGTTTATATTTCAAATGTTAAAGAGTGACTCAGGAGGAAAATATAGAGTTTAGTTATAGAGCAAGTCTATACTCTATTGTGAAACCTTGTGGGAAATACCTGCACAGTTTATCTGGCTGGAATATAAAACCTGCACACTTGAAAGGTCGTGTATTTACAGTTTGAGAACTATGTGCCTACTTAATCAATATGCAGAGTATGCTCTGGTGGCAGCAACTCAAGGGAAGTGTAACTTTAACTTGTATGCTATGAATGTATTTATTAAAACATGTAAAACCCCAAGTCCGGCAAATGGAGGAGTACTTCAGCTCTGCAATTCTGTGCTTTTCTGTCTTTCTGCAGCATTTTTAAGCTTGAAGTAGAACACTGACACACACAGACAAAAAAGAATTACAATTTTAAAGTTTATTATCAACAGAGTGAGATGCACATCAAAAAAAACATCACATGTTCACAGACTTCAGACAGATTTGAGTGTGTTGACCGTTGTCCCCACAGTCTTGCTTTGGAAGCTTTCATCCTGCAGAATTTAGAAAAACAGAATAAATCAATATGAAACCATCAGGAATAGCCAAATGTGTGTTTGTGCTCATTCCCACGCAGCTGGATGAGCTTTAGGAAGGCACTCATCCACTAATTTAGTGGAAATGAGACGTGGCTGTTGCATGGTGTCTGACTGTATCCAGCACAGAGCAGCTGGACCAGAATTCGCCCATGCCTTTAAGTTAACAAGTCTAATAACATACCATCCTCGGGATGTTCCCCAGAGGCTGGCGACCGGTCGAGCTGCACTTCATGTAAATGTTAGGCACGCTGAAACAGAAGAAGGAGAACCGAGGCTATGAGATAAATCTGAGCTAATAAAACAGGAAACAAGCCAACAGCACAGAGCATCGACAGGGAGGAAGACAGCAAGCAATGTTGAGCAACAGATCATTAATATACCGGCTGAATCGCTTTGAAGGAACGAGGCCGTTGATGTATTCACTCTGACATAAGAATGAGAAGCACAATGAGCACCCTCATCCTGCTGAGTCAGTTTGTGAAAGCATTCATGTCGCATGGTGTCTGACTGTATTTACTACATCCAGAGCAAAACAGAATTCAGCCATGCATTCAAAATTCAAGCTGTAATTTTATTTATAGAGTACATTTCACTACACTCAAGCTTTTGGCTGTTCCCTTGGCAAAAGAGTCACAGCAGAGGGTAGCTTTGCATGTTTGATATCCAGATCCCCTTCCTGATACAACCCCTAGAGGGAAATTCATTTCCAGATGGAATCGAACCAACGACCTTTCACTTGACAAGTGAATGGGTAGAAGATAAAAACATAAAACGGTATGTAGGTTTAAAATGAAAACTGCAAAATAAAACTACTACAAAGTAGTAAAACACCGGTGCACAATTATTAGCTGAATTCTGGGAGAATAAAAGGTTTTAAACCTGTTTGTAACTGATCTCAGGTCAGCAGGCGGCTCGTTCCAAAGATCAGGAGCACTAGCAGCTGAAAAGCACCCATGGCACAATATTTTTCACTGCCTTTTTCCAACAACACCACCTCGGCTCCACTCCATTCTACTCCGTTTTGGTCACTGTGTAGTAATTTCCCTCGTTTCCCCTTCAAACATGGTGAGTTTGAATCTTATGAAAGAGTTGCTCTCATGACTTACCCCGGCCAAGAAAAAACAAAACAAAAACAACCTGGTGTCAGGTACTACCACTTAATGGAAAGCTCTTAAAACCAAGTTGAGCTGAGTAGATGCTAGTGAAAAGAGGAATTACATGCATTTCTGGGGACAATTAAACATCTGCATGATGATCTGAGAGGTCAGACTATGTTATAGACACTGACCTAGTCAGATAAATACTGGGGAGGCCAAACCACTCAGTGCTTTGTCAACTAATAGAAGGATGATAAAAGAAGGATGATAGAGCATTACAACAGTCCAAACTGCTTGAGATTAACGCAGTGGTTCAAATCAAACAACTACCCACTGTGGTGACCACTTATGAATAAGGGACCAGCTGAAAGTAACTTTCCATTCAGAATATTCAGTACGAAACAACATCTCCATAGACACTCTGGATAAAAGCCACATAAAGTGTAGTGATGGAACAGACTGGGATAAGTGGAACACGTTTTTTTTTGCGCTTGGGAACACACTCACCCTGGTTATATCCTGAAAAGACACGTGGTTTTGCTTTGTCATGAACTAACTCAGTCACTTCCCCTGTGTTTTATTTGTACCTTATAGTATATTAAGAACCGTGTGCATCTGCCGGTCGCTTCAGCCACATGGAGATCTGCGTGTTTCAAGATGGGAGCTCCCGCATGATTACTCCGGATATCACCTCCAGTACCACCCTGTGCAACAAGCAACGACGACAAAGCACAAATAAACACAAATGCACATCCTGCACAGGATTCCTCCTTTAAGATGTCAGGTAACACCTTATCCACATAGTTACAACCTATGAGAGTGTTCTTACAGCATGGTGGCGTTACGGAAAATAACTAAATTAATTCACAAGTGAACACAATTTTCACAAATTATCGGGTCCACGTGTTCATGGAAACACGTGCCGTTAACTAAATACTTTCAACCTGAATGGGGGAAAATCACCTGCGTCACGCTACAGCCTCATATTTTAACCTTCGTTTCTTCACGAACGTTTTCCATTCACAAAACTCCACGGTGACTTCTACATGATGTCTGTAAGGCCACATCTTCAGCAGACCAAAATACGTCCGGATAAACCACGCTAAAGACTTTTCCTCTTCTTTTCCCTCCAGTTTGTGGCGGGTGAAACAGAAACAGTTCGGCGTGCACCAGCGCCCCCTTCTGGACGGGAGGTTAACTGGAGCACATATTAAATCAGAGCGTCAGTTTCTTTAAAGAATCTGACTCATAGATAAAGTCTTCAGATTGGATTTTACACAGGTTGAACAGGTTGTCTTTTTAATTTCGCGCCTCTTTAACAGCTCTGTGTGTCTCTTGTTGCTTCTTATTAACCTTTATGGTTGTTTTTCTTCTTCTTTGCTTATTGTAGGAGCTTTTTGCTTAACTTTCTTCAGTCATTTTTCATTTTCACAGGAGCTAATATCCAGGAACGTTTCCAGGGATAAAATGTTGAGAATTCTTTATATCTTTGTGTTGTTTTCACACCTACTTTGTGTTATTTAAAAAATGTTTTAAATATCAATGTTAATTTTATTTACATTTTTGATTTATTTATTTAACACATTTTATTTCACATAAACTCAATTGGTAATGATGACAGATAAAAACATCAAAACCTATTTAGATCTACAATACCTAAAGGCAACACACACACACATTGTCTTCATTGTTCTATAACTCATTTGGGCTTTTACATTGCATGTCATAGGTTGGTCTGAATTCGGCATTCCATGTATGTTTATATTGTTTGTGTCATTTAAAAAATTAACTGAATATTATGAATTTTGGTATATGTTCATGCAAAATGCCCAAATCATCAATCAATCAATCAATCAATCAATCTAGTAATCAAGCTGTATTTTGCCAAGATAATTTTTTAAAGTAAATTTATATTCATCTTCAAATGCACACAGTGGACTCAGCAAATGGTGATCAGATCATATGTGCATTATTTTTCCTGCTTTTTGTATGTAAAAACATATTTTTGCAAACACACAGCAAATTATACCCATTAAGAGTATAACAGTGTAGAATAAATTATGACATTTATTTTATGTACAGAGTACAGATATGAAATACCTTAATGGTAATAACTTGTGCCCAGAGTTTGTGTACTTTATATTTGATGTTTTATTTATTTAGTTTTACTCATAGTTTTATTTCTTTTATAATAATATGTGGTCTTTGTCTGGGGCCAGGGTCAAGAAGTTTAAGAACAGGTGAAAAAACACCTGACACACTCAGAGATATCCAAATCTAAATAGTAAATAGGGAAAAATATGGCGACAGTGGGAGTTTCAATGTATATTTTTAGTTTTATTAAAAAGTAAATGTGTACTTTTTTTTTTACACATATTAGACGAAACTGACTAAACCTAAAACTGGGTGGTTAAGCCTGATGGGGGCAGCATGGTTATGTGCTCAAATTATGGTCATAAATATTTTGTACTTGTAAATCAGAATGCTATATTTGTGCATCTGTAGATAAGAATTTGTGTGTGCATAAAAAAGATTTGTGTGTGTAAAAATATTTCCCCAATTACAAATTATTTTTGTTAAGGTCTGGTTACAGATGCAAAGCAAAAAATTGTTAGTTAAATTTGTGATTGTCATGACATTGACCATTCAGCTGAAAGGAAGAAAAATCGGGTCAAAATTCGTACTTGTAAGTTGAAACTTGAGTGCAGAGTTTCACACGTATTTTTTTTTTCGTTTGCTTTGTATCTGTAACCAGACCTTAACAAGAATTAGTAACTTGTATAAATATTGTTACACACACAAATCTTTTTTACGCACACACAAATTCTTATCTACCGATGCACAAATATACGCATTCTGATTTACAAAACTGATTTACAAGTACAAAATATTTATGACCACAATTTGAACCCATATTTTTTTTTCTTAAATCTAGCTTCATAGACAGTGTCACATCTGTGCCTGATTTTGAGGGTTCCATGATGTTAATTAACCTTTATATGTTTAGTGTTTCATGTCCTCTTAAAAGTTGGTGTCTTGCAAAATTTGGAGGTTTGTTTGAGTCTCTTTTTCATAATTTTCTCTCTTTTGTAGTTGTTACATATCTTAGTGGCCATTTGAAGCCGATGTGACTTAATGTTATTGTTTTACTTCGTTTTTGTCTCTTTTCAATCGCTTCCTTTCGCCTTTGCGCTCGTTATTTATGGTAGTTGTTTTTCTCCCTCTTTCGCCGCTGGTGTCGTCATGGAACCGAGCCAGTGATGTAGTGGGCGGGCCCTAATCGGCTTCTCTCTGATTGGCCCACCATTCAGTGCTTTTCTTCCTCGTCCACGAGCCCACCGAGAGCTGTCGGCTTTTATGCTGAAGCTGCTGTTCGTGCCTTATCGTCGCTGCACTCGCCGGTAAGTACTACAGGACAGTTCTAATGTTTTTAAGTATTTTTTTTCCTGCCTGGTGCTGTCTCTCGAGTTGTCGGCAGTTGAGCAGCGTTCAAATCAGCTGCACCGGGCAGATAAGAGCCCGCTTATTCTCAACGTACAGCCGTGATATATAGTCATTTTCATGACTATATGTCTGTCACTTTATATCAAAGTGACAGATACGAACCGTTTGGCCCAGTTTCAGTGTCTTCACGTTTGTTGTTGGTTATGCTGCCCTCAGTAGTGACCCTGTGGGTGACGCAATACGCGCAGAGCATGTCCATCCCGGGCCTCTCCTATGGTTTGTTTAAGCACACTGCTTTATGTAACGCATTTTGGCACACATCATCGGCTGGGAGGTGATCCCCGTCGATTGCACATAGGTATTTGAGTGAATAGATGCGTTTGCTGCTCCACTGGATGAAAGACATCCTTTCTATACAAGACTTAGTGCATTAGTGAAATCAGGCAGCCGCTGGCCAAAAT